CCCGCCACTCGGACTCGCAGGTTTAGCCCCTTATCGCGGTATCGACATCGCGGCTCGGACTATGGCCTGCGTCTAAAGGCGGCTCTTGTGCCATCTTGACCCTTGCGTTGCTCGCCCGCCCACCATGTCGGGGCTCGGCGCGCACCAGAGCGATGCCCTCAATCGCATCTTCGCCGGCCTCAGGAGCAGAGACGAGGCCTCGCGTCAGGCGGCCGGCGAGGAACTCAAGTCGCACGTCGCCTTCGTCGTCTCCGAGCTCAAGGGCGACTCCCTCTCCACATTCAACAACGACCTCCACCGCAGGATCTTCGAGCTCACCCACTCCCAGCATGTGCACGAGAAACTCGGCGGCATCGTCGCCATCGAGGACCTCATCGAGCAGGAGAGCGAGGACAACAGCGCTCGTCTCTACCGCTTCTACCAGTACCTCAAACCCAACCTCCCCTGCAACGATGCCTCGGTCATGATCGCCGCCTCGCGCGCCCTCGGCAAAGTCGCTCACCACGGCGGTCAGTCGCTCGGCGAACAGTTCATCGAGTTCGAGGTGCTCCGTGCGCTCGACTTTCTCCAGGCAGGCGATCGCAACGAGTCCGGCCGATACGCCGCCGTGCTCATCATCCGCGAGATGGCTAAAAAGGTGCCCCAGCAGTTCCATCCATACGTGCCGCGTGTGCTCGATCGCATCTGGGTTGCCTTGCGCGACGTGCGCGTCATCGTCCGCGAGGGCGCCGCAGAGGCCATGGGCGCCTGCCTCGGCATCATCGCCGCGCGCGAAAAGCAGATGGGCAGCCACTTCTTCGAGTCCATCTACGAAGAGGCCGAAAAGGGCCTCAAGATGAGCGCCGCAGAGGCCATCCACGGCAGTCTGCTCGCCGTACAGCAGCTCCTCCAGCACTCCAAGACCTTCATGCGCAACCGCTTCCAGCGCGCATGCCAGCTCGTCTTCCGCCTCCACAAGCACAGGGATCCGCTCATCCGACGCACCATCACCAACCTCGTCCCCGTCCTCGCCCGCTACGACCCGCACTACTTTGCAGAGGAGCACCTCGGCGCCGTCATGACCATCCTCACTGAACAGCTCCGCAAGGAGAAGGACCGCTCGCCAAAAGAGTCCGCACAGACCTTCGAGACCATCGGCTTCGTCGCCGCTGCCATGGGCCCGCGCATGAAGCCCTTCATCGAGCCAGTCCTCGCCTGCGTCAAAGAGGGCCTTCAGAGCCGCGGGAGGAAGAACGCAACCCCAGAGGGTCCCATCTTCCTCTGCGTCGGCAACCTCGCCACCGCCGTCGGTCCCCACCTCACCAGGTACATGCACGACCTCCTCGACCTCATGTTCTCCTGCGGTCTCAGCATCCCGCTCGTCACCGCACTCGACGGCATCGTCAAGGCCATCCCCCCGCTCATGAAGGTCGTCCAGGACCGCCTGCTCGACATGCTCTCCATGACGCTCATCGGCCAGCCCTACCGTCCGCTTGGGGCGCCCGCAAATCTGCGTCCCTCGGCCAACGCCAGCCGCGACGTCGTCGCTGCTCACACCGTCGAGTCCAAGGGCGTCGAGACCATCACCGTCGCCCTACAGACGCTCGGCAGGTTCGACTTCCAGGGTCACATCCTCAACGAGTTCGTCCGCAACTGCACATTACCCTACCTCGAGGACGACCATGCCGCCGTTCGTCAGGCCGCAGCAGAGACCTGCGCCGACCTCTTTGTCAACGATCCCATCTGCCGCCAGACCAGCATGCACGCCATCGAGGTCGTCAACGACGTGCTCGACAAACTCATGACCGTCGGCATCGCCGACCCGGATCCCGAGCTCAGATGGACCGTGCTCAGCAAGTTTGGCGCACAGGAGCAGTTCGACCGCCACCTCGCACAGTCCGAGTACGTGCGCTCGCTCTTCATTGCGCTCAACGACGAAAAGTTCAACGTGCGCGAGGTGGCCATCGTCATCATCGGCCGTCTCGCCAAGCACAACCCGGCCTACGTCATGCCCTCGCTCCGCAAGGCGCTCATCCAGCTCCTCACCGAGCTCGAATACTCCACCGTCAGCAGGCACAAGGAGGAAGCCGCAAAGCTGCTCACCGAGGTCGTCCGTGCTTCGCAGCGCCTCGTCAAGTCGTATGCGCTGCCCATGCTCGAAGTGCTGCTGCCAAAGGCCAACGATCCCAGCGTCGGCGTCGCAGCACGAGTCATGGAGTGTCTCGGCGAGCTCGCCAAGGTCGGCGGCGAAGACCTGGCGCCCTTCGCCGACCAGCTCATGCGCCTTGCCATCGACCAGCTTTCCAGCACAGCGCCCGGCTCGTCCACGGTCAAGCGAGACGCCGCGCTCAAGATGCTCGGCCTCGTCGCCTCCAACACGGGTCACGTAGTCAACGTTTACCTCACCTACAAGGGCCTGCTCCACCTCCTCGTCAGGATCCTCAAGACCGAGCAGTCCAAGCCCGCCCGCCGCGAGACCATCCGAAATATGGGCTTCCTCGGTGCCCCTGACCCCTACAGGTTCAAGCTGCTCGAGAAGAACGGCGACGAGGGCCAGGACGACACGTCCAAGGGCAGCGGCACCGATCTGTTCGAGCTCGCCTTGGCCATCGGTACCTCGACTGACGACTACTACCAGAACATCGCCATTGACGCGCTCATCACCATCCTCAAGGATCCGTCGCTCTCGACGCACCACCACGCCGTCATCGAGGCCATCATGTACATGTTCAAGACACAGGGTCTCAAGTGCGTCACCTTCCTGCCGCAGATCATCCCGGCCTTCCTCAACGTCATCCGCACCTGCGTCACCGGTCTGTCCGAATTCTACTTCCAGCAGCTCGCCATCCTCATCTCGATCATCAAGCAGCATGTGCGCAGCTACCTCGAGCCCATCTTTGAGCTGGTCCAGGAGAACTGGAACCCCAACTCGAGCATCCAGCTCACCATCGTTTCGCTCGTCGAGGCGGTCGCCAAGGCACTCGAGGGCGAGTTCAAGTCGTACCTGCCAATCCTATTGCCCAACATGCTCCAGACGCTCGACGGCGAGATCACGAGCAAGCGCCAGCCCACCCTGCTCCGCATCCTCCAGGCGTTCTACGTGTTTGGCTCCAACATCGAAGAGTATCTGCATCTGGTGCTGCCGGTCATCGTCAAGATGTTCGAGCGTCCCGATGCTTCGCAGACGTTGCGACGCGCTGCCATCCTCACCGTGGGCAATCTGTCGCGCAAGGTGAGCTTCTGCGACCATGCCTCGCGCGTCATCCATCCGCTCGTGCGCGTGCTCCCCACCGGCTCGCCCGACATCCGCAACGCCGTCATGGAGACGCTCTCGGCGCTCGTGGTGCAGCTTGGCTCGTCGTACGCCATCTTCATCCCCGTCGTCAACAAGGTGCTCGTGCAGCACCGTATCCAGCACACCACGTACGATCAGCTCGTCACCAAGCTGCTCAACGGCGAGCGCCTTCCCCAGGACCTCTCGGCGGCTGACAATGCGCTCGGCAGCAAGATCGACGACTCGCCGCAGGCAGAGGCCAACAAGATGACCGTCAACCAGCAGCATCTCAAGCAGGCATGGGACACGTCCAAAGTGTCCACCAGCGAGGACTGGCAGGAGTGGCTGCGTCGCATGGCGGTCGAGTTCATGCGCGAGTCGCCCAGCCACGCGCTGCGAGCCTGCCGCAGCTTGGCAGACGTGTATCCCGCGCTGGCCTACGGTCTGTTTAACGTCGCCTTTGTCTCGTGCTGGACCGAGCTGTACGAGCAGTACCAGAGCGACCTTGTCAAGGCGCTCGAGACCGCCTTGGATGCACCCGAGGTGCCCGGCGATGTGGTGCACATGCTGCTCAACCTCGCCGAGTTCATGGAGCACGACGACAAGGCACTGCCCATCAACATTCGTGTGCTCGGCGATCGCGCCTACAAGTTCCACAGCTACGCCAAGGCGCTGCACTACAAGGAGGCCGAGTTTCTCACCGATCCGTCGCCGCAGGTGGTGGAGAGCCTCATCGACATCAACACCAAGCTGCAACAGTCGGATGCGGCGTTTGGCGCGCTGACGTATGCGAGGGAGCACCTCGACATCACCCACCACGAAGAGTGGTACGAGAAGTTGCATCGCTGGGAGGAGGCGCTTGCCGCCTACGACCGCAAGGCCATGCTCGACCCAGACGACTACACGGTTGCGTTTGGCAAGATGCGATGTCTGCACGCGCTCGGCGAATGGGAGCATCTCTCGGACCTCGTCCAGCAGAAGTGGGGACGTGCCGACATGGACGACCGCCGCCACATGGCGCCGCTGGCCGCCGCGGCAGCCTGGTCGCTGGGACAGTGGGACACCATGGACGACTACATCTCGGCCATGCGCTCCGACTCGTCCGAGCGCTCGTTCTACCGCGCCATCCTGCACACGCACCGCTCGCAGCGCGCGGCGGCCAACAAGCAGATCGCCAAGGCGCGCGAGTCGCTCGACTCGGAACTCACTGCGCTCATCAGCGAGAGCTACGGACGTGCGTACGATCTCATGGTGCGCACCCAGATGCTCTCGGAGCTCGAGGAGGCGCTGGCATACAAGCTCGACTACAAGGAGCAGCCCGACCGCCAGGCCACCATCCGCTCCACCTGGATGAAGCGTCTGCAGGGTTGCCAGCCCGAAGTCGAGGTGTGGCAGCGCATCCTCTCGGTGCGCTCCATCGTGCTCACGCCAGCCGACGACACCGAGACCTGGATCAAGTTCGCCAACCTCTGCCGCAAGTCCGGCCGCATGGTGCTTGCCGAGAAGACGCTCAATTCGCTGCTCGGCCCCGAGAGGACGAATGCGGATCCCAGGTCGCCCATCGGCCCGCGCGCGCCGCCGCCGGTGATCTATGCGCACCTCAAGTTCATGTGGGCGTCGGGCGCGAGACTCGAGTCGCTCAGCTACTTGCAGGAGTTTACGCTCAACCTGGCCGAGGATCTGGGTGTGCACACGGTGGACGAGCATGGCAACCTGGTGACGCAGGACTGGCAGTCTTCGCCGCGGCTGGGCGAGTTTGCGCGCCTGCTGGCTCGGTGCTTCTTCAAGCAGGGCGAGTGGCAGATGGCGCTGCGCGAGAACTGGGTTACGGACGACAACAGCAACGTCATCGAGAGCTACCGGCGCGCGACCGAGCTCGACCGCAACTGGTACAAGGCGTGGCACGCGTGGGCGCTGGCGAATTTCGAGATCATCTCGCACCACGAGGAGAGGAACGAGCAGATCACGCCGCAGATGATCGCGGCGAGCATTGTGCCGTCGGTGCAGGGCTTCTTCCGCTCGATCGCGCTGGCGAGCGGCAACAGTCTGCAGGACACGCTGCGTCTGCTGACGCTGTGGTTCAAGTACGGCCACCAGGAGGACGTGTCGCAGGCGGTCAGCGAGGGTTTCGCGAGCGTGATTGTGGACACGTGGCTCGAGGTGATCCCGCAGATCATTGCGCGCATCACGGCGCCGTCGCCGCGCGTGCGTCGGCTGATCCACAATCTGCTGTCGGACGTGGGACTGGCGCATCCGCAGGCGCTCGTGTATCCGCTCACCGTGGCGGCCAAGAGTCCGAGCCACATGCGCATCCAGGCGGCGATGGGCATCATGGACAACGTGCGCGAGCACTCGCCCGTGCTTGTGGAGCAGGCGCTGCTCGTGTCCAACGAGCTCATCCGCGTCGCCATCCTGTGGCACGAGATGTGGCACGAGGGACTCGAAGAGGCGTCGCGCCTCTACTTTACCGAGCACAACATCGACGCCATGTTTGCCACGCTCGAGCCGCTGCACGATGCGCTCGAAAAGGGGCCCGAGACGCTGCGCGAGACGTCGTTTGCCCAGACCCACGGGCGCGATCTGGCCGAGGCGCGCGAGTGCGGCCGAAGGTACCGCCAGTACGGCGACATTTCCGACCTCAACCAGGCATGGGATCTGTACTACCACGTCTTCAAGAAGATCGCCAAGCAGCTGCCGGCGGGCAACTCGGTGCAGCTTGATCTGCAGTACGTGTCGCCGAAGCTGCTGGCGATGCGCGATCTGGAGCTGGCGGTGCCGGGCACGTACCAGTCTGGCAAGCCGATCGTGTGCATCACGCGGTTCGAGCAGATTGTGCTGGTGATCGCGTCCAAGCAGCACCCGCGTCGGCTCAAGATGAAGGGTTCCGACGGGCGTACGTACCAGTACCTGCTCAAGGGCCACGAGGACTTGCGTCAGGACGAGCGGGTGATGCAGCTGTTCGGGCTGGTCAACACGCTGCTCTCGATCGATTCCGAGAGCTACAAGCGGCGGCTGGAGATCCGGCGGTTCCCCGTCATCCCGCTCTCGCCCAACACGGGCATGCTGGGATGGGTGGAGAATACGGATACGCTGCATGTGCTCATCAAGGAGTACCGCGAGCAGCACAAGATCCTGCTCAACATCGAGCACCGGCTCATGCTGCAGATGGCGCCGGACTACGACCACCTCACGCTCATGCAGAAGGTCGAGGTGTTCGAGTATGCGCTCGACAATACGCCGGGGCAGGATCTGTACCGCGTCTTGTGGCTCAAGTCGCGCAACTCCGAGTCGTGGCTCGAGCGTCGTCTAGCCTACACGCGCTCGCTTGCCGTCTCGTCGGTGGCGGGCTATATTCTCGGCTTGGGTGATCGGCATCCGTCGAACCTGCTGCTGGACAGGTTGACGGGGCAGATCGTGCACATTGATTTCGGCGACTGTTTCGAGATCGCGTGTCACCGGCCCAAGTTCCCGGAGAAGGTGCCGTTCCGGCTGACGCGCATGCTCGTGAATGCGATGGAGGTGGGTGGGATCAAGGGGACGTTCAAGGTGACGGCCGAGAACACGATGCGGGTGCTGCGCGACAACAAGGAGTCGGTGCTGGCGCTGCTCGAGGCGTTTGTGCACGATCCGCTCATCTCGTGGCGTTTGGTGGCGGACGATGCGGATCAGCAGCGCGCTCCGGATGCGCAGGAGAACGAAGCGGCCGCCACGGCCGAGAATGCTGCAGCGGCTGCGGCGGTGGCGGGTGCGCCGACGGGTGGCGCCAATGTTGGCGCCGGCGGTGTGGTGGCCGCCAACCAACGTCAAGACCAGCCGGAGCAGGCACAGGGTGGAGGCGCCGTGGCGGCGGGAGGTCACGACATGCGCAACCAACGCGCGCTGGAGGTGGTGCGCCGCATCCAGAACAAGCTGAGCGGTCGCGACTTTAACCCCGCCGAAAGCCTCACTGTTGCGGCGCAGATCGAGCGGCTGGTGCAGGATGCGACGTCGAAAGAGAACCTGTGCGTGGCGTTTGTCGGCTGGTGCTCGTTCTGGTAATCTCTCACTGCTCCTTGTACGCACGTCTTTTCAATGCAGGCTGTTTTTGTTTTCCACCCGCTTGGATGCAGTGTGCACACTCTCGTCGCAATGAGCAAAAAAAAAA